CTTTGTATCCTCATTGTTTGGCACATAGAAGGGCTCAGTAAATTCTTGCTGAATGAAGAAAAGGGAGTGGTGGTGGATCAGGGCTCCCAGTCTCAAGGTTCTTCAGATTGCCTGCTGTCTTAGTCATCTAGTGCTGCTATAACAGAGACACCACAAGTGGATGGCTTTAACAAAGAGAAATTTATTTTCTCACAGTCTAGTAGGTTATAAGCCCAAATTCAGGGCGTCAGCTCCAGGGGAAGGCTTTCTCTGTCAGCTCTGGAGAAAGGTCCTTGTCATCAGTCTTCTTTGTTCTGGGAGCATCTCAGCGCAGGAACCTCAGGTCCAAAGGACGCGCTCTGCTCCCGGCACTGCCTTCCTGGTGATAGGAGGTTCCCACATGTCTCTGCTCACTTCTGTCTTTTATATCTCAAAAGAGTTTGGCTTAAGACACTATCCAATCTTGCACACCTCATCAGTATAACTGCTGCTAATCCATTTTATTAGATCATAGTGACTGAATTTACAACATATAAAGAAATCACATCAGATTACAAAATGGTACACAATTATACAATACTGGGAATCATGACCCAGCCAAGTTGCCGATATTTTGGGGGGACACAATTCAGTCCATGACACCTGCCTCCTGAGTGGATGTTGAAAACTGTAACTGCCTCCTGAAAAAGTTGCCTGTCCTGGGAGTCGGGAACCTGGGTGACTCAAGTGGTTTGTGATCTGCTGCAAACCTAAAGGTTGGCGATTTCAACCCACCTAGTGACTCCACGGAAGAAAGCCCTGGTGAACTGCTTCTGTAGAGATTACAGACAAGAAAACCGTATGGAGCAGTTCTACTCTGTAACACACGGGGTTGCTGTGAGTCTGGGGCCAATGCCGCAACAGCTAACAACAATTGGGAGTTTAAATACAGCCTTTCTCTCCCTACTGATCACCGCGCTCCTCAATCTATACACCCTGTTAACCCGTTGCTGTCGAGTGGCTTCCGACTCATAGTGACCCTATAGGACAGAGTAGAAGTGCCCCATATGGTTTCCAAGGGGTGGCTGGCAGATTCAAACTGCCGACTTTTTGGTTAGCAGCTGTAGCTCTTAACCACTGCGCCACCAGGGCAGCATAAAGAATATGAAGTGACAATGAGGCTGAAAATTTGAGCTTATTTCCCAGGAGTTAGTTCCCTTACTAGGGGGAAATTATCTCTGTGTAATTGTGGCTTGGCATTGCTGGAATCTTTAAAACACTCTGCGCTCCTTTCCAATACTGTTATTTATAACTTTTGTTGGAGGCTGAGGGAAACACTAGATAGCTTCAGATTCCTTGCAGGTGTTTGTTTTTAAGAAATAAAACATTTGTTGGTGTAGGTTTTGCTCTCTGTATTTTCATATTTTCAACAACAAAAAATAAAATATTAAAAAAAAAACTGCAATCAGTCTTTTGGAAGGAGACTAAGTTGGGAGTGGGATGGAAGGTGAGGTAGAAGAAAGTGAATCGGGATTTGAGAAGTGAAGAGATGCAAACTCTGAGGGGTTTTTATTGGCTGTCAATGAGGAATAAAGTTATCAAGAATAAGGACTTCAATTTTGTAAACCCTGCAGAGCGTATGCAACTAGAGGCAGGGACGGAAGCATGATTAACCTTGCTTTGTGTGGCACCCAACAGCTCTTTATAGTAAACTTTGAAAATAATTCTGAGTATAACTGTGAATCCAAATAGTCCTGTTGTACAGTGGGTAACTAGAAGACCTATTCAGAGGCTTTCCAGCCTCTGTATTCTCTGTGCTCCCTTCTTTTCCAGTAACCTTATGTTCTCCCTATCTCAGAGTGAGGCAGGAAATATTGTGAGTGATTTCCATGCATGAACTATGCCTCAAATGTCTGCAAGGCACTGGTAGAACAGAAGCAACTATTAAGGATTCCAGACCTTTATTCATGTCCTTACTCTCTCTCTATACAAGCAAGTCTGTCTTTCTCTAGGGTACATTTTATGTACTTCATGAAACTTATTGTGACCATTTCAACTCACGGAATACTGTTTACACCACTCATCTGAAGCATAATCAAGTACTATTTGGTGACAGCTTTTGCATGTTTGCATTCCACTGATGTTTAAATTTTTCCCTGTGCTTCTCCGGTAAATTCATCTTGTAAAATGCCTCTTTGGTGTTCAGCCACAAACAAAGTTTTGGTTGTGAAGTCTGACAGCTATTGTAAAGACTCTATGTAAATATAGGTCAGTTTCTACATACTTTATTGCTCGTCCTCAGTTATAGATTAATTTGCTTATAAATTTACTTTCTCATTGCAGTGTAAAATGCCACTAACTGTAAGAGGTGAAGATGTATATTTGAAAATATCAGAAAGTTAATCATGAAAATCTTCCTCTTCTAACTCCCTCTTATGTTGATACATCAAATACACTATCATATGAAATATGTAGGATATAACATGCATTTGGTATATATTCAGTTAAAGGTTAACATGAGATCACATTTCAAAGCTTGAAGTTGATGGGCAGAAATAAAATTTAAAATCATAAGCTGGTCAATGATTTGTTCTTTGGGGAAATGTTAAATGTTTTGTTTTACAACATGTTCTTTTTCCAGATCATCAGTTTCTGCATATTCTAAGTGCAAGGTATGTATAGTATAATCCTATTTAATACCTCTTCCCACCTCAGTAAATACATAGGTACACATGTCACACACATCAGGGTTTATTTAGAAGGATGTGTAAGTTTTAACAGTAGTTGTCTCTGTAGGGTAGGTTTTGGGGTTGTTTCCTTATTTTTGCTGATAAATATTTTCTAAGATTTCCGTAATAAGAAAAGATTTAAGAAGTTATTTTAAAAGAGGGGATCTGTGGAAAGTGTAAATCTAAGATTAGAAATATTCAGAAGAATTTGATGATTACTCCAATAGCCACATTGTTCTCTCTCCCTCTACACATGCCCCTCACTATTTATTTTCCACAGTTAGTGTAGTGCAAATTTGATTGTGTCACTTCCCTGCTTTAAGTCAATATCCTCCAAGGATACTCTGTGCACCGTTCATGCTTATTATCATGTAAACCAGTTATCTTTCAGTTCCAAGTGACAGAAACCTAACTCAAAATAGTTTAAGCAAAAAATGAGGAATTTTTGGGTCACAAACATAATTGAAAAGTCTAAGGGTGGCTTTAGGCAGAGCTAGATCTAGGAGCTCAAAGATGGCATCAAGGTCTTGTCTTTTGTGATCTACTCCTTGGCTCTGTTTTCTTCTTGTTGGTTTTATCTTTAGGCAGTCTCTATCCATGTGGAGGAAACATAGCCAATGGCATCTCCAGGCCCATATGGTCCTTAGAACTCTAGATCCCTGAGGAAGTCATGTGCCCTTCCTTGGGGCCAGTCACCCTAGAATGAATGAGATGAGGAGTTCTACAGTCACCCTAGAATGGAATAAGGTGTTCCCCAAAGAAAGTGATTTTAGGCAAACCATGACCCGTCTCCTGTATCCCTCTCCAGACTCATCTCTGCTCTAGTTACACCTGAACTACTTTCATCCAGGAACATGCCAAGCTCACTCTATTGTCTCTTTTTTTGTACAACTCGTTCCATTGGCTCAGAATAGCATTCCTCAATTCTTTACCTGGCTAACACCAATTTATCCTAAGATCTAGCTTATGATACGTCTACAGGATGCTTTTCCTGACCCTCCCAATGTGGACTGGTATTCATTTCTGTGATCCCATAAGCATGCCATATTCCTGACATCACCCTTAACATTCTATTGCAACTATATATCTTGTCTCTCCCTCAGTAAACTATAGCTCCTTGAGTTCAGTGATTTCACAATGCTTGGCACATAGTAATCACCCACAAATGTTTGTTGACTAACAGACAATCTCCATATGGATAAGATCCCTTCGTCATTCCCCCATTTAAAAAAATTGCTGCAAAATATCTTGGATTCTTTTTTTTTTAGGAGCAAGATATAATCTTAAATAAACTTCACACACGTAACTTGCTAAATTTGTGATAATGAAGATGTGAATATTAAATGCTAAATTAAGCATCACTGGCCCTTAAATATGATCTTACAGCCTACTTGAAATATTGGCAGATCTAATTAGCTAGGTCAGGGGTTCCTAACCTGGAATCCACAGACCTCTAAGGGATTTTTTTTTTTAATTAAAAAATACTTCACTGCTAAAAAATGCTAACCATCATCTGAGCCTTTAGCAAGTCATAATCTTTTTGCTGGTGAAAGGTCTTGCCTCAGTTTTTTTTTTTTTTTAAATTGTTGTAGTCTAAATGAAGTTTACATTTCAAGTTAGTCTCCCATACAAAATTTTATACATACATTGTTGTGTGACCCTAATTGCTCACCCCATTCTGCAACAGCACACTCCTCCTTTCCATCCCTGATTCCCCATGT